GGGGGGGGGGGGGGGAGTTCGCGAATTAATCGGTCGCGAAATACGCTCGTTCGCATTAAAATATTATAATTCCGCTCGTTTACCCTCACGATCGATGATAATGGATTTCAGCCGAACTACTTCTGCCGACGAAACACTCGCGCGAATGACGTAACATGACGTTAGTACATCTACGTTTCGCGTGTGTCGTATCACAGTCGTCGTGCGGATGTTATCAGTACCGAGCGGTTATCGGCGTATTCGCTGGCGCCTTTATTAGCCGAACGGTTGTTGACGAAGTTTAATGCCAATGAATATCGCAGTTGTAGATCACAGCCGGACGATAATGTGCAAATGAAACGGCCCTCAGCAGTAGGGAGACTTTGTTTTTATTCTTCTTCTTCTTATTTCTTTGCTCCTCGAATAATTCGTACAAGTTACGAGGGAAAAGTGGCACTTTCGTTTTCGGCGAGTCTCGGCAAAGGCTACGAGAACGTTCAGTCCCGGTCTGCAATAGGTGTTTTAAGCTTTAAGCCTTAAGAAATTGACCAATCACAGTCGAATGTAAAGAGAATAATTTAATGTGATTGGCCAATTTCTTAAAGCTTAAGATACCTATTGCAGACCGGTACTTATGCGCGCAGTCATAGCTTAAGTGGGGACTACAATGAGAATTTAAGGCGTAAGATTTAAGAAATGGACTAATCATAATTAATTTTTCTTCTATAATTCGACTGTAATTGGCCAATTTCTTAAGTCTTACGACTTAAATTCTCATCGTAGACCCCGCTTTATGCAAAACGGCTTGACTTTTTCCTTGTTTCTTCGATAGGGCGAGCACGATTCGGCCGTGAGAGAGACCTCGGGAGAATACCTTCTCGACAAGTCGGAACGTCTCGAAGCGGCGACAGCCTACTCTTTCGTGTTCTCTCTCGCTGAATGTTTCAGCCGCCTTACGCGATCGGCCAATCTCGAGTTTCGCGTCAATGCTCCCGATAATGTGTGCACCTTCTCTTCCCCCTTTTTCTGTCTTTCGTCAAACGATCGAAGAGCGGTTTCGACACGTTACCACGCGAGATACAGCGAGAAAGGTCCCGTGTCGGCTTGTCACCGCGTGTCGATCGATCGCGCGAGTCTCTTAACGCCGTAAACAACCGGTTGCCCGCGAGGACGACACAGGCGAACGATCATCGTATCGTCAGTATCCCTGACTTTGAATCTGTCGGCGATCCATATTACATCGGCCATACCCCCCTTCAATTTTTCATCGTGACGAAATCAAGGACGCGCGCGATCGATAATCTAAAAAAAACATAAGAGAACAGCGGGCGTTCGCACGCTCGCCTCGCGAGCGCGGTAGTAACGGCGATTGTATCGCCGAACGCGATCGATACCGAGGGCCCGGCGATCGCCGAATCGTTCAATCGCTTAGATCGTTTTTTCGATATCGTCGCATTGTGAGAAAGGTGGTCGGTCACAAAAAGGTTGCGACACTTTCTTTCTCGGTTTCGCAAGACATCTTGTACACAAAATAGGAAAATGTATCTCCTGGGAGAAGTACTGAGAAACGAATTCTATTGGATATAGGATGCGTCCCGAAACTTATCAGAAAAAGAGGTTACTACCTTTTTGTGACTGATCCATACACACGGAAATATATTACTTGCACTGCGAAGGAAAGCAATTATTCAATTTACTTTTCTTCCTTTGAGTAATGGTTATTTTGGTTGAACGAAGAATATTTTCTTGAGAGGTAATTGTATGAAAATATACCTGTCACAGATATTAGAAAAGCTCATTATCATTAGTAAATGATGATATACAATGTAGTTCTTTTGAGTACAAAAAAAGAATTTGCTCTCTTTTCAAGATTATTATAAACTTTATCGAAGTAAGATTAGAATTAATTGGTATAAGTAAACCGAAGAGTTTTAGTTTCAGTGTTTCAGTGTAATATTCTTGTTTGGAATACCAAACTTACTAGTATTGAGAATATATTTTTAATCAATATTATGCTGTTATGATGAACTTTTGATATATTTACGGATATATAAATTTATGAAATATTTTAAACAAGTATATATGTACAAATATATCACAAGTTCACCATAAGTACATCAAATTTGTTCAAAATATATTCTCAAACCTAGTAAGTTTAGTATTTCAATCAAGAATTTAAATTAAAGCAAAACTACAACTTTAATTGTTCCAATTAATCAAATTTAACTTTTCTTTGATAAAATTTATAATATTCTTGAAGAAAGAATAAATTCTGCTTTTGAGTAAATGGTAATGAACTTTTATATACGAGTTCTGGTATATTTTGATACTATATTAGGAAAATATTCTTTATTCAAAATAATTATTTAAAAGAAGATTAATAAACAAAGTGGTTTTTTTCGCAAGTGATATTTTTTCTCTGTGTGGCATCTAACTTTTGAAATGTTAATTTTTGAATATAGTAAATGTTAGAGTATTTCTCTACATTATTCGTTTGCGATAGTTTGCAGTGGCAATAATTTTGTATTTATAGTTTCACTCGTAAAATATACAGAAATTTACATTTTCTTTCGCTTATCTCCCCCTCCACTTTGTACGCACTCTATACCCCCATTTCTATTCTTTTATGACTCAGAAAAAAAAGTTGGATCTCCATATGCCCATTGCTATTATCAACCTGATCCAATGATAACTGGTTTATGAATGGTTTCCTGGCAACCTCAGTCTACAAAGACAAGAAATAAAAATCCATTAATAACCTTAATAACTCACAAAGGACCTAAAAATGTAAAAACCCACTATTTTTACATTTTTTCCTAATGTAGGCCTGAGAGCCATCTATGATGTTACTTCAATGTCAGGATCGCGAGAGTTAAAAAACGGCTCGGCATAAAAAAAATTCACAAATATACGTTCCCGATTTTCCCGTTAGAGTAGTCTTGAAAATTGAGGACATTCAAAAGCGACCACATCAACCGCACGGACATCCGTTGACATTGTACAGAATAGAAGAACAAAGTCGAGTCGCGTGAGATTTCTCCAAAAAAAGATGGAGCACGCGCAGGTTCCCTTTGTCCTCTATATATCGCATGTGGCGCGGCGTGTACAGTTATCTTCTAGTTATCTCCGCCTCGGAGATGATAGCGAGCTCGCCGAGCACCGTTCACGTTGCCGAACGTCCCTGACCTTATGGGAACGGGTTCGTTGAACCGTTGAATCTTGAGATGTCAATTGATCGTACAACTTCACAAAGCGCAGTCGACGACGAATCAGCTCGGCTATTACGTGTCTCTTCGTCGTTCAGGAACGTGTCGACCGATCGGGCAGACGGGATCGAGACGGGAAAAGGGAGGAGAGCGCGGACGGGAAGACTGCGATCGACGGATCGCGCTGTCGACGCTCTTCCCGTCACGAAGTAAAAGCCAGTCTCCTCTCTCTGCGGCTCGCTGACGAGTGATTGATTTCTGTTGCAGGTAACAATGTCGTCGATGCGCTCGTAATATTCGGAACCAGCGTGCAGGAACGGAAGGAGAGGAAATAGATGTCAGAAGAATGGCGTCCACCAGCGGGCACAAGAGGAACGGCTCCAGTTCGAGCATGTTCGCGCACAAACGCACCGAGTCGGGGGGTGGTTTCGTCGGTTACAAGCGTACCGAGGGCGGTCACAAGCGTGCCGAGAGTATATCCAGTGCCTTTGGCCACAAGCGATCCGAGAGTGGCCACAAGAGGAACGAGAGCAGCGGTGGCTTCGGTCACAAGAGGTGAGATTTTCTTCATAGCTGTCCCCCACATAGATAGTGTGAATATCATTAGGGCCTCAGCGGAATGGCTGACTTATCGGCTCAAGACAGTGTTTTATGCCTTAAGTGTTTTAATGCCTTTGGCTTGTATTCCGAGCTCTCACGGAAAAAAGTCTGGCTGAATTAACCGGAGAGAGTGGACAGCCAGAAGCGTTTTGGTTGGAGGAGACAGAATTTCTGGTTATAAGAAACATTGTTATGATGTACTCAAAACGTATTCGGTTGTCCACTTTCTGCTTAACTCAAGCTTTTCTTCCCTGCTCTTTTATCGATAAAGTGCCTCTGAAAGTGGCTCGGGAACCACTTGAGAATTTAACTGAGAGGCCACATTTAACGCACTTTTATCGGTAGAAGAGAGTTCAGAATACGCATTTGTCTTTAAGTAACACACAATGATCGTCTTGAGCCTCAAACTAAAAAGCCATTCTGTTTGTGATTGATGACAAACCGTTGCATAATAAAATAGAAATAAATAAAGGGCATGAAACATTGTCTTAAAATTATAAGTCAACTATTTCGCTGAGGCTCTCGCGAAGATTAGCCAATCGCGAGCCATTCATTCTTGGATGAACCGGGGAACCGTTTTCCACCCATCTGTTTCGATGTCGTTCGCAGGTCCGAGTCTGGCAGCAATTATCATGCCGGGCATCGACGGAATGAGAGTATGTATGCCATGACGGGCCTCTACGCCGAAAGCGCCGGCACTGGCACCGACGATAATACGGACCCGTTGCAGGCGAGCGGCAGCAGACTGACCCACGACACTGTCATAAGGTGTCACAGTAGAAACCCGAGTTCCGGCCTTGTGGATCATAGGTGAGTGGGGGAAAAAAGTATCCGCCGTTCTTAGATACCTAAGAAAGCGATGACTACCGATCGGGCGTCGAGCCGCTCGTCGCGCCTACGTCACAGCGTTTTAATGACTGTATATCCTCGTCTGTAGTTCGCTCTAGAGACCGTTCTTTCTTCTCTTTGTCTGTAATACACACCTTGTGACTCTTCATACCTACTTCCAGAGCATTGATATAGATGCCCCGTTTATCTCGGCACGATGATTAAACGGCTCATGCATAAATGAAATCCTTTCGCTGCACGCAACACGTCATTCAAAGCATTTCATTTTTGCTATGATTCATCGTAAATCATTTTGCTCTTCCTTTGTGTGTGTGTGTGAGGGGGGGGGAGGGAGAATGTATCATTTTTCACGAATATCTGAATCGGTTAAGCCAGCGGCATACGATGCTTGTTTTCGTGCTGGATTGCTTGCTGGATAGATATACTGCGTTCTGATTGGTATATTTCCAAAAATGGTTGACAATACACCAATCAAAACGCAGTATTTCCATCTAGCAAACAATCCAACATGAAAACAAGCACCGTGTGCCGCTGGCTTTACTCTTAATCCCCGCGTTTCCCCTTCATGGTCGTGCGAAGTGCACCTTTGTATTCGCCTCGATAGAGCTTTGCGACACGTTAACAAGGCATCACACGCACGCGAGAGAGTATCGCAAGTATGTGTACCGCGAAAGACTGCTCAAATACCTGGTAGAAAGTGAGAGAACGAATGACCATGACATATTTTGCGTGTAGATTTAGTCGGATCACACTTTTCGTTATTGTCACAACTTGCTCCCTCGTTACTCCATCGTTCACTTCGCAATGCGCTTCATCGCGGAGAAAGCCCTCTGGGAATCGGCCGGCGAGGACTATGACGAAAGCTCCCCCCTCCCTCTCTCTCTCTCTCTTTCTCTCCCCCCTTCCCTCCCCCGCTCTCGCGAACAAGACCAAAAGCGTAACCGTACTGCGTGTATGCTCTTGTATAATTTAGATGAAAACCTTGCTTTAATTACGACATTCTAATGCAGGCAATTTAATGCCGCGCTGTGTCGGGTAATCGACGTGTCGCAACCGACGTGTATTTGTACACCGCCGCATCATGCAGCACACAGTATTATTCATGCTTCGTTTTTCTTGTTCCGATTATTTTTCAGAGATTTTATCATCAAATGTCACAGCAGGAATCCCAGTGCTTCTATGGTAGACAGGTAAAATTAAACGTCATCACTCACTGTCGCGCAGTTATCTATCTGCTATTACGGTAGTTATCTGTACTTGGTACGCGATACGCTTGTCCGAAGGAACAACAACCGTGTATTAAGCGCGAAAGGGGGGAAAAAAGATCGAGATCCTTTGTCCGCGCGATGCGTCGTCGCGCGTTGTCTTTTTTTCTCTCTCTTCTCCGTTGTGCGTTCAGTTCGATTTCCCGTTTGTTTTTCCCCGGACCGCGCGATTCGATCTTTATCGCTCGTTTAGTTGCTCATTGCGGCTTTTCACTTTGATACGTTTCGTTGTTCATTGTTTGATCTCCTTGAAACGAATCCAGGACGGAGAAGGAGAGGGCGCAAACTCCGCCGTTTAATCCGGACTCCAAGGACTGTGGGATTCTGAGTTGTAGGCCGGCCTTCATTCAGAGATTTGCCGGAATAAAGGTACGGTGGATTTGCATATTTATTCGAGGGGCTGCGCGGAGGTGTGCATTTTTAGGAAAAATCCCCGTTTCCCCGCGAGATATTTTACACCTCGGTGTCGGCTCTTAACGCGCTTGGGAAACGAAATTAATTATTATCGTTGGCGCGTATCGTTTCGGAAATTCACTCGCATCGCGAATAGAAAAGAACGGTGAGATTGGTGTTGCAGACTTACTGTTACTGCATCGAATAGTACGAGAGATTCTCGAATGTTACAAGAGCGGTAAAATCGTGAGAAGGTAATATATTACGATACGTGCGAGCGATCTTGGTTTCATCTTATAAGGTCGCTTACATATTAAGCGGTGAGTGCTGCGTTTCAATTCGCGCGGTGCATGCGGATGTATAAAACAGGCGTCGTGACTCATCGTTCGAAAGGATACGATCCGTGCTCTTAACGTTGTACGAAAGAGGTCCGACCGTAGAAATTGTACTAACGTATTGCGCAAAGAAATTTGTCCCGAAGTAGAACCTTCGCATCTCGCGCGAGTGTATCTATTATTATCTTCTCTCGCACGATCGAAGGCACAGAGCATGATTTGAGGGACGCTTGGAGATTCTTAATTATATCCGTCGATTTATAAATTACATTCATTTGTACTGATTTGTGCATGTGCGTTACGATTTCAGGTGTTCGTATTCCTCCTGTCGTTCCTTGTTACATTGCAACAAGCGCTTAGCTCAGGTTACATCAATTCTGTGATAACAACCATAGAGAAGAGGTTTGAGATCCCGTCCAGCCTTTCAGGCCTCATTGCGAGCTCTTACGAGATCGGCAATGTTATCACTGTCATTTTCGTCAGTTATCTCGGTAGTCGCAGGCATATACCTGTCTGGATAGCGATCGGTACGGTGATCTTTATTTTACTTAAGGATGTATTACCCATTAGTCAAAAAATAATGAAGAAATTGTAAAAAAATTACAAATTAATATTATTATTAATTTATACCGCAGTTAAAAATGACGTCAAAAATTTGACAATAATTTGAAACTTGGATCAAAAATTATTCCACTTCAAAAGAGGTGAAATGAATTTGATAAGAATTCAAACTTGCGTAAGAATTTGCATTGCGTGTATATTGAAATATTATCTAACTCATTGCTCGTGCAATTAGAAAAAGATTGAATATTCGAGAGCCGAGATATTTATAACGACAATTGACACTTTTCATAAGTGTTTCTTGAGATTAGCGCGCTATTTTTGATTTATATTTTTAATATCTTCTAAAGTAATAAGATTTTGATGAAAAGCTATTATGTAGATATTGTACATAAATATCAGAATTATTGTTTAAGTATTAATTATTTTGTTTTGAAAATACAGCGGTGTCAAATTCATAACTTATCGTAATATTCAAAATATGTATACTGTAAATATGTACATATTTAAATACTTAAATATCTCTTTCTATTATCTGTGCATTTCTATTAAATTAACTGGTGTATAAATATAATAATTGCGTTAATAAAAAAATGAAAAATAAGATTTTCGTATTTGTAATATCGTGTATATATAGAGTGACTCATTTTAATCTTAACAAGAAAATATTTCAAAAAATATGGAAGATATGAAATCATTTTTCAGATGAAAGTTGTGAGGTTTGGAGGGGGACATAAGATGATGACCTTTACTTTGTTGTACAGTCAATAATTCCAGATCATTTTAAGGTCAAATTCATATTTTTAAATGAAATCATATATTTTATTTAACGCAAATTAATTTCTTTGCTCGTTATACGTGTAAAAGTACTAGGGTATGGTCATCTAAATTCGAATACTTTTCGAGTTACTTTACTTTCTATCCTGATATTTTTCAGTACAAGATATGAAATATCTCGTAAACTTTTTCTTTTTCGATGTCATAATCGTAACACTTTTGTATATAGAATGGCAAATAGATCGCTTTATGCAAACATAGAGAAACTTTAAAAAAAATTCATTATATTTTATAAATGCATCGATACACCAATATACAACGATTAATATCAGTAATCGATTTTTTTTATATCATTACTTAAAAATGTGTTAAGGTGATATTATCAAAAAGTGAATATTTCATGAGATATTTTATATCTCGTGCTAAAAAATATCATAATGGAAAGTAAAATAACTCGAAAAGTATTCGTATTTAGTTGACTTGCCCTAGCATTTTTATACGTATAATAAGCAGAGAAATTGATTTGTGTTAAAAAAATATATATATGAATCTATTTAAAAAAAGTGAAGTTGACCTTGAAATGGTCTTGAATATTTGACTGTACAACGAAACTAAAGTCACATGTCTCCCTCCAAACCTTATATCTGAAACATTTTCCTATATCTTCTATATTTTTCAAAATATTTTCCTGTTAAAATTAAAATGAATCGTTCTGTATATCTCTACCTCAACTTCGTTGAAACTTCGTTTCAAGTTAACATTTATCATTTAGATAATGAAATAAATATGTAGAAACTAATGTTGCTTGATAAATTTACGAACGGCCCCTTTGATGCGTCACTGAAAATACGGTATTAATGGGCAATACATCCTTAATGCGTAATCTTTACGATGCTGCTGGTGGGACTACATATTTATTAACTCATGTGTTACTTCTTATGATGTAGGTGCAGTGATAATGGGACTGGGATCTATGATCTTTATGGTGCCACATTTCACAGCGGAACCCAACTTGACGACAACAGCGAATCATTCCAATTCGGATAATATTTGTCGCGGCGTATCGTTACGTGAACAAGATATGGGTCTGGGTATGTCTATATTTACAATTGTTTCTCCTGTTGCATTTATAAATATTTATTTATGTTTAAATTATATTCATTTAAAAGTTTCATATGAGGAAAACATTGTATCGAGTTTTCTTTTAAGAAATGTCACGATTTTTTTTCCGGTTAAAGTTAAAATCCGTACAATTTGGAAATCTGTTCGCAGGTCGACTCTCGTCAGGGTTATCCTCGCCCCCCTTAGCACCACATAATAATTTAAGAGGTGACAATTGCATACAGGGATCTCCATCTACAGCTGGACCCGTCATGCTGTTTGTACTTGCTCAGTTACTATTAGGATGTGGAGGTTCTCCTTTGTTTACTCTTGGTACTACTTATATAGACGATCACGTGAGACCGGAAAGTGCATCTTTATATATCGGTGAGTAAAAATGCTGTAAGATTGCGTACATGTAGATAAGTGCTTTCTAAAAGCGAGGGAGATAAAACAAGACAATTCTTAGTTAGGTCGAATCTTTGCGCTCTTACATCTATGTTCTGGTCCCGAGATATATACCTTTTCTTCTTCTTCTCTTCATTTTCAAGTATGCATCGGGGAATCTTTTTCATTTACCGTGAAAAATATTTCCTTCTCTTTTTCAGGTTGTATGTATAGTATGGCGGCCTTTGGACCAGTCTTAGGCTTTCTTCTCGGAGCGTATCTTTTATCCTTCCATATGGACTCGTTTTCTGGAACGATTATAAGCATCGGTAAGAAAAATCTCTCTCCTTGTATTTTAATACCGCATGCCATTGTTACTCTTCGCTTGTGAGCTCACCTGTAACACGAATTTTTCAGATCCCGGAGATCACAGATGGGTCGGCATGTGGTGGGGTGGATTCCTACTATGTGGTCTGCTCCTCATTTTAGTAGCAATCCCCTTTTTCAGTTTCCCTAAAACATTGCAACGTGAGAAAGAGAAAATAAGAATCATCGAAAAGAACAAACCAACGAACCAAAAAGAAAAAGAACAACCGAAGGAAATTAAAAAAGAAAACGTCGACGACAGTGGTTACGGCAAGGATGTGAAAGGTGAGCCGCTTCTATACACAAAAATATACATTGTACTCATGTAAATATTATATACTTGTTTCAAGTATTTCATAAATTTATATATCCGCAAGTATGTCGCAAGTGCATCATAGATATGAAATTTATTCAAAATATATCTTGAATCCTAGTATAAATTTAGTACCTCAATCAAGAGTTAAATCGAAACACCAAAACTAAAACTTCGGTTTACTTATTTAACACGTTGACTGCCAACTACGAGATATCTCGTAGGTTGTTGCCCAGGACGCCAACTACGTGTTATCTACGTCACTTCATTACTTGATTAAATCAAATTGGCTTCTTAGACCAGAATCGTGAAAAGTTCCGTGGCAGTCAACGTGTTAAATTAACCGAATTGAACTTTTCTTCAATAAGGGCTATAATATTCCGTGAAAAGAGAACGAACTCTTCTTTTGTGTGAATGTTAGTGAACTTTTCTAGTACTTGTGACGAGTACATTTTAATACTATTATCAAGAAAATATTTTTTATTCAAGATAAGCATTACTTGTAAGAAGAAAAATTAACTGAATAATTGCTTTTCTTCTCAATACAATAATATTTTTCTCGGTGTATATTCTCGATACTTTACAAAATGTTGTATCGTTAAATCTGCACACTAGTTGAGAAACGATTCCAAACAAAATAATCTGATTCTTCTCACGACAGATATTCCACGAAGTATGTGGAGGCTTGTCTGCAACCCAGTCTACGTTGTAACGTGTTTGGGAGCGTGCATGGAATTGGTGATCGTGTCTGGATTCGTGGTGTTTCTTCCCAAATATCTGGAGACGCAGTTCAGTCTGGGGAAAAGCCAAGCCAGCATCTTCACCGGCTCGATCGCAATACCAGGCGCTTGCATCGGGATTTTCTCCGGCGGATGTTTGCTCAAACGTTTAGAACTAAGGCCGAAGGGCGCGGTGCAATTCGTTCTCGTCTCGAATATTATTTGCTTGGTGTGTTACGGTCTGCTGTTTTTCCTCGGTTGCGAGAATGTAAAGATGGCTGGGACCACTATACCGTACTTTAACAGTAGTACAAAGGGCCCTGAACCCTTTCAAGTAAATCTCACTGCCGCATGCAACTTTGGTTGTGAATGCCGAATGACGGACGTCGAGCCGGTTTGCGGCAACAACGGTCTGACGTATTTTAGTCCATGTCACGCGGGTTGCACTGCCTTCAGTTCAAAATCAAACTTCACAAATTGCGCATGTGAGTGCAGGTCCAGTGTCAAAATATACGGCCTGTTCTTTTTAGCTGCACCAGTTCAAGTGCAGCTAAAAGGGACAGGCCAATAGTATTCCGATGACATCGTCGCGATTAATTGTTATTTTTGTGTCCTCAGGTATACACGGTAATTTGACTATGGTGCCACAAGCTGCTCAGGAGTTTGCAGAAGTGACCGTCGTACCGGTAGCGACCGCAGGCCCTTGCACTTCACCATGTAAAACTATATTCCCGTTTTTAATTCTCTTATTCTTCATGACGTTTATTGTCGCCGTGACTCAAATGCCTTTACTCATGATAGTATTACGGTGAGTCGCGCATCTACTTACCGGTCGTCGCACGTGCATCTTTGCGTACTAAATCGACTTTGGTTGCGTATCGATTCCAGATCCGTTTCCGAAGAAGAAAGATCCTTTGCGCTGGGTATGCAATTTGTAATCTTTCGATTGTTCGGTTATATACCTGCACCGATACTGTTCGGTAATTTAATCGACTCCACGTGTTTGCTGTGGAAGAGCACCTGTGGAGAAAAGGGAGGTCGATGTTTGCTCTACGACATCGAACAATTTAGATACAGGTATGTTTTGCTCCTTGTTGTACAGGTAGAACGGGCAAAACTGAGCAGAAAAGTCATGTACCATTTTGCAAAATTCGCAATAGTTAGTGAGGAATTAATTATTTTGTCTGAGCTAATGAACGCATAGGAAAGGGTAGACCAGACACTGTATAAAGAAAAATTGCTTACTTCTGAAGATTTTCTACGTTCCTAACCTCGGACAAAATAATTAATTCCTCGTCAACTATTGCGAATTTTGCAATATGGTACATGACTTTTCTGCTCACCCGTTTCACCGTTCTACCTACCTACAGACCACGGGAACCGAGAACGGTCAGGGACACCCTATATATCTTTCTAATTTACAAAGTTCAACTCCATTTTATTCACTTACGCTTACATTTGCGCCATCTTTATGCCGATATTTCTTTTATACGATTTCAGATACGTCGGCCTATGTGCTGGTATAAAAATTCTAGCCTTGGCGTTATTTTTAATCGATTGGTGGCTCGTGAGAAGGAGAAGACAAATGGAAGACCAACCGCCATCCTTCACTGTCAATGAGTTTGTAGGGTCAATTATCAGCCTAGATAAACGTAAGTAACGGACAATGAACGATAAACTTAGAATATATCAGAATAAATCGTTCATAAAATGAGTATATATCATACTCATAATATGCATGCTGTCATATATGTCACAGTGTTCGAGGAGAAGCCGCATCATCAGAATTTAGGTGGAGATGGTGATGCAACTCTGCCGAGTTCCGAGATTCCAACGCCATCCTCCATCTCATCGCCTACAGAACCTACCAAGTCAACGAATCTCGAGGAAACAGGGTCGTCGAGTCAGACGCAAGATTCAACAGAGACGACAAATCGCTCAAAACACACGGATATGGAGGTCCCCGATACAAGGCAAGCGCCATTCTCCACGCAAGAACCGGAAGTCGAGATCAAACCGTCGAGTGGTATGGCGGAGAATCGTAACCGAAACGTTTAATGTTTATTTCATATTAGAAGCTATAAAAATGAATATATCAAATTGGTGATATGTAAATTTGTGACAAATTATTTTATATATACATATATAGATATATATATACACATATATACAGATATATTCGCTGATGGATTTTACCTGAGTAATACAGGTCGACATATCCACATGTACATTGTTTCTTTTCCCGTTGAAAAGTAAAAGAATGCATCACGAGATATCCATAGACAATGAAAATTTGTACGATATTGAAATACTTCAGAAGCTCTGTAAGTGTATAATGAATTCAGTTATATTTATTTATTATATTTCTCCATTTCTCCTTTTGCATACACATACACACACACACACAGTACATACTCTGCGTACCACACGTTATGGTGCGTACGTGCATAGTTGTTATTTATTAGTCAAGATGATTTGTCACAAATTTAAATAGCTGAGTTAATTACTCTTAGGGAATAATATCACTAGAACGTAAATTTTTACAGCAATCATATATATGTCAATAAGTAGATATATAACGCGTAAAGTGTAGTTCGTTTCAAACGTACAACTCGAGATTGTATTATTCATTGCACATTTAGATTTATACTGTTGCTACGTATATCGTTAACGAACAGATATATACGAGGAGGGAGGGAAGGAGGGAGGATATAAAAATGAAGTAGAGAAAGTCGGCGGATGTGCAATGTAGATAAATTTCTCTTGTCGTCCGACTCGAATCATGATAAAAATAAGCCTTGCGCCATTGCAAGAGAAGGCTAACGTAACGACGAAATTGTAAATATGAAAATTCCTGCCTTAAGAAATATACAAGACTAGACAAATGTATATTTAAAGATAATGAACTAAGTATCACACAGAACACTAACGATCTATATATATAAATATATATTATAATATCATTAGTGCAAAGTAAGAGCTACGATTTATTTTATAACTAGAGATTAGGTTTCTCGAAACCAGTAGTCAATTTAGCGTAGTGAGATAAGCGACAAAGATTAGTATGACGAATTTGTAAGTAATCTCCATTGTTGAACAGCGCGTTGGTCTATGTCTTACGTTCGTTTTCTTTTGGAGATAAATGCAACCGTTTCAAGTGCGCATTGCATAAGCCGCACGTGATCTCTTATCTCCTCTTAGTTCTACTATACACTCTTCTTTCCTTCGGTTTGTAGGCAACCGTTTCTTTTCGTGAGCTTTTCATGGAATTATAGAGAATAATTTTTCCACGAGAACCATGGAAATCACTATATATTCTACATCATACAAACGATGCTTCCAAGCAACGAAAATGATACTTTTTTGGGGGGGGGGGGATTAACTGTGGCTCAGTATATCGAGAGATAATTGGGGGGTTGATACCACTGCTTTCTGTTTCAATTAAAAATCCTGGCTTTACGCAAAGAGCTCGCTCGCAGTACGGGGAGCCTATTTGCTTCGTACCTGAAAGCCTCTCGAATCAATTTCGATATATAAAAAAAAAAGGAAACTATTATAAAATCACTCAGGAATGTGAAATTCTATATTCTAGTGGATAGTGTGGCACTTCTAATTTAACTCAAAGAACTCATTATATCAATTAATATACCATTATATGAAATGAGAGATTGTAACATAAAGGAAAAATGTAAGCTTGTCTTCGTTGCACGTCGATTCCATTTCTTCTTCAATGAAACGAACACCGTGAAAAATTTGAATACTGAACTGTAAGTGAGGAAAAAAAACCGTGTTATAGAAACAATCTAGGCGCAATTGCTTTTCGCGGATATGTTCGCCGATCGATTGGGATATTTCTCTATAGGCTATTCCGCTGCGACGTTAAGGGTACTAAACAGTTTCGCGTACATACATGCTTCTGAAAATGAGTGAACATAGTCTTAATTTCACGCATTTCCACCACACTCTCCCCCGCTTTGGCCCGCCACTGTCAATTTCTCGAAAACTGTAATACACGTTACTATATTTTAGATGGGATTTTCGAGTTTAATGTAAACTTCGTCAAAGTTAACCGTTCGCACATCACGTTTCGAGGAACAGCGCGCGTATGATCTCCGTAACTACATATTACTAAACACTTATATACCCGCTTTGTGATATAAACTTCTTCCGAACGGTAACCTTTGAGGAAGAACCGTAGAGAATAACAAAAAGTGCTGTGAATAATGAGAGAAGGAGGGAGAGAGAGAGAGAGAGAGAGAGGAAAATACACGCGTTAAAATCAAATTTAATTCAATTACATGCCGACGGTAGAAAGAAAGAGAGAGATAGAGAGAGGAGGAGGCGCGGATTAACGCTGGATCTGTGTCCTGCGAGCGACTGTACATACGTAAAATAATAGTTAGAGCGATTTATATCCGAGAGAAATCCGAGTGGAGAACGCATGTATCGCATCGTACTATAATCTCGTTCGTTGAGGTTGCCATGATAAAGCGATATTGTTATCGACGTAAGCGGGTGATTACGGCGTAATCGATTTCGATTGACTCACCTGTAGCCTATAATTTATACATAGCTCGTATTTATTCTTGATTTTTAGAAGAACGTTACTTAAATACTTTTGTAAGAATTTTTCTCTTATACGTATATATTTGTCTTCTGGGTTTTTTTTTTGGCCATATAACGACTCGAGACGCGCACCGAATAATGCGTATGTCACCGGATCTTACTGTTGCTATAATTATTCTCTCGACTCTTCATTACCGTGCTTTCGTTTACTTTCTTACAATTAAATATATCGGTTTTACGATTTTCGAATTCCATTGCTCCATCGGCTATTACTATTATTACCATCGTTACTACCGGTAATATACCGCGCGTTTACCATTACTGTTGCCACCACCACTGCTACAAGTACCGCTACGACAACCGTTACTACTAGTTAGTACTGTGTCGTTAATTTTTATAAAACCTTTCGTTCGGCTTGATCTAATTTTCTTCTTTTTTTTTCTTCTTTTTTTGCTTACGATCGTTAAGATTAATGCGTATAACATTCCGGAGCTACTGTAAGTAGAACGTTTCGGTAAAGGTGTGTGTGCTTGCGTGCGTACGTGCATGCATGCATGCGTGCGTGCGTGCGTGCGTGCGTGCGTGCGTCATGGATGTGTCAGTGAATGAAAAAGTATGAAAAGAACGTAGAGATAAAGGGAAAAGTTAGAAATGATAGAACATGAAGGAACGGTCGATTATTTGCTAGAGATCGTAGCTGTTGGAGGTGTGCGGCTTCTCGAGAATCGGGTCGGATATTTTCGTCGGGTATTTTCTTCGGGTTGGGGTTGGGGGGAGGGAGCCTGATTTCGGATATTCGCACACCTCTACGTAGTGGTAATTACGTTTAAGTGAGGAAACTGTTATGTACATACATATGATTATTACATTAACATAAGCTGCTTATAGATGTAATGTATTTTTTGTAGGGACCATAATATATAAGCGGAATATATATATATATATATATATATATATATATACACACACACACACATATATATATATATATATATATATATATATATATGAAGTTACGAACAGTACTAACGAGTGATACAAATCGATCTTTGTCACACTTTTGAAAGCAATACGCAATCGATACCGCAACACGGTAATAACGCGAGAAACAAAAGAGTGAAAGAAGGAGGGAGGGGGGAGGGAGAGAGAGAGAGAGAGAGAGAGATTGTGAGAGTAAATGCATTATCATTTGCGTTTCTCACGGTGATTATAATAAAGCGAGATAACGTGTGTCTTAAACGCTGATCGGAACGATAAAAAGGCGTGCGGCGCGCGATATTAGATAATAAATATAACGCGATGCGAGACTTAGAAAATTGAATCTATAGAATTTTTTCCGCTTTAGAAGCACACGGATTGAACTATCCAAGTTGAGATATGCCTTAAAATATAAGAGAATTAAACGATTGACTCTTTCGTAGCGACGTTACTCGTCCGAAATGCTACTATAATTTCCGGCATTAACGAGCAGCTTTCTTTAGGTAATCGCTTACGGCAATCGAAATATATTCGGAAATACTGAATCTTGTATTTTTTAAACATGAAAAAACGCACATTTCCGCAGCGAAAGGGTTAAAGCGACGAGATCGTAAGAACGCGAAGAGGACGTTTGCGATGCTGCGAATAAAAAAGAAAATGATCCATCTTCATAGAATGGGCAATCCCCCCAAAAATATCTCTATTTTGTATCGATACATAAAAAATATGAGATGGTATTGGCCTATCTCATATTTGTGGTGTATCGATCTTTTCGTTTACGATACGTATCGATACGAAATGTCGACATTTTTTACGGTATCGCCCATCTCTACTCTAAAGTCGTTGTAGCGCACTTTTGTAAGTCGCAGTCTTGTTTCACGGTAATTCCGAGTGTGTGTTAAAAGTGCTCACAATTGGCGCTGCATTTGTAATGTCCGTGAGATCCTCGCTTCTTATCGATCTCGTTCCCCCTCTTGTGACGAAAATTGACATTCTGAATTTCCAAGAGCGCCTCGCGCAAATCGCAAACGATCGTACCGAAAGGGAATGAGCCGCGCACGACTTTTATGCGGTTGATGCACACGATTTTACGTGTCTCGCGTGCCAGAGTCATTATTGTCGAATTACTGATTCAATTGGGAAAAAATAGGGATAATAATATTATAACGATCGGGAAAAAGAAACGCCTTTTACTTGACTCATACAAGCCTAATTTTTCGAAGAGTAAGGCACAAACAGACAATGTATTTACAATGAATAAATGTTTTGAAAACTGTTAATCCCCGCATATCTCGCTCCCGATAACGCATGAGCACTGAGTTCCGGAAATCATTGGCAATACTAAAAATTAATTTATATTAACACATTAACGGCGGGCGATATTTTGTGTGATCATAAAAACTTTAAGGTACAGTCGAGCTAAATTGTTTTACTACGACTCCCGCCTTTAAGCCGCAGTCGAGCTAAATCGTAGTACTACGACTCCCGCCCTTAATGTGTTAAGAGAAGCAATATTTTGTGCGTTGATATTTATATATTGAATTTTAACTGGTCAAATAATTTTGCAGTATGAATGGATGAGTATGGTTAAAGTGAATTTTTTAAACAAAGTCCCTTGACATTAAGTCGGAATAAATAAATATTTCTACTGAAAATCTATATATAGTTCATGTTACGTATACTGTAGATTTTCAGTGCTAGCAATGAATATTGGGGGAACGCAGCTCATGATTGTTTCGGAACCGTTTCGAGCAGATCGACGGTGCGAAACGATAATTTCATCGATTCGCACGTTCCGCACTGCAAGTGGATCTTGCGAAACGTCTATTTCTCTCGATATATTGCGCATATTTCTCTCTCGAAACTCGCGGTTACATTTAAATTTTCTCTGTGCAGAACGGTATTGGAATTTCGCACGTTCCTCGATTGTCCAATCATAGTGAAGTTCTGACCAGAGCACTTCCTGCCATTTCCGCCATTTCCTAACCCGTTCATCCATCCGGTATCTCCAAATGGATAAGATTCGCGCATGCGTCAGCAGTCCGTTCGGTGTTCAGTAGCGTATTTATCTCTCAAAATAAGAGATATCACTAAGCCGGGCAGAAGTGAACGTCGGGAAATGTATGAAAATCTGCGTCGGCCGATTACGAAAAGGTGGAAATCAAGTCGTTTGCTTTGCAAATTATTAATCAATAATTACACATATATATTAATATTCGTTCAGGAATGAGAAAGTAGCGGAAAATCGTATCAGTGCCCTGAGAGCAGTATACCGCAGTTTAAAGTACGGTATGCGAGTTTTACACAAGTTTATTCGTCCAGTCACCATGAAATTAGTGAATTTCCTCGCCACACGGTAAATTTACACACTCGACGCGCCATTTGACCACATTTCGCGACGTGGAGGAGGGAAACAAGCGGAAAAATGTGCACGACGCGCGGAGGAGACGACTCACACTGGTACGGGCCTGAGCCGCGCGGTCACGTGGCCGGGCACGCAGGTTCCGGATGCGCGCGGCGACGCGGCGCGCGTGGTGGGAGTCGCCCTTTCATCCGGAGTGCGTCCGTCAGTGTAGTCGGTCGTTCCAGTTGTTCACGGGCTTCTCTGGCGAGTGGACGAGTGCGCGAGCGGTGCGAATATCCTCAGCGTGTTTCCTGTCACCTACGGAGTCGCGTTTTCGCTAACGAACGCCCCACCGTAGCTTCCATATTCAATGTGTATGGCGATTCAGGTGAGTGCTCTCTCGCGCCTGTCGATTTTCTCGCGTAGCCTCGCGCAAAAACGACGCGCTGAATCGCGAGCCGTGCACATCGTGATGTGCGTGCGCGTACGTACGTACCGACGGACGGATCAACGAAATGTCGATCGCTCGTCGCGTTTGCGGTTTCCTTGGCTGTACACGCTCGCACACCGTGCGCGCGCGCGCGCTACGTGTGTGCGTGCGTCCGCCCCTCTCTCTCACTCTCTCTCCCTCCGTGTACTGCGTTTCGTAGATGTGCGCGCGGCGTGGCGCGGCGCGGGCGACGAACTCTGGCGTCTCGTCTCTCCGCTGCCGCGCCAGCTCCATCGAGACGCCTTTTTTTCATCGGACACGCTCGCCGCGCCGTCGAAACGCGAGTCCCTCGGCACGCGCGCATATACACATACATACATACGTATACACATATACACGAGAGAGAGAGAGAGAGAGAGTGGGTGAGACGGACGCACTTCCAATCCCGTGAAATGTCCCCGCATAGCCGAGCCGCCGAGGGCTCTACACCCAGTTGGGACGCGTCGGATCGCCTCGTCTCGAGGCGTGACGCCTCTCCTTTCCCAGCTTTGCGAGAACGCCGCGCGGAGGCCCGTTTTATACACAGGCTCGCACAGGAAGGACGCGCGGCACTTTGCACGCTCAAGCGGCGGAACGGAGCACACGCGTTTCGGAACCCCGCGTACTCGTCGTTGCCTCTTCTTTCCTCGCGCGTGTATGTGTGGGATGGAGGGAGGAAACGCAGAACGAGAGCGCTATACTACGTTAGACGGTCCCGATGTGTAAGTGGATCTCTCTCTTCCTTTCTCTCTCCGCAGCCCTCTGGACGGCGCGTGAAACGTCAAGCGTGCCGTCGAGACCGACTGCTGCCGCCGCACACATGACGCTCCTCGCCCGGCGGATCGCTCGTGCGAGCGATTCTCTCACGCTCCCGATCCGATCCTTCCGGTCGTAATCGATGAATGTAGAGTCCCCTCTCCCTCCTTTCTTATTTGGTGACGCGTTTACGTGTATAGAGTAAGAAAGAACAAAAAAAAACTGTGTACGCTTCGAGGTACATGTGACCGCACGAAATCGCACGACGAAAGTGACGAGCTCGCGAGCGAGGAAACTCGCTCGTCGACCCGGCGTCGTCTCCGCGATCTCTCGGCTCACGCCGCTCGCGGAATCGCCGAGTTCACTCGCGGTATATATCGCGGCCGTGACTCAGCGCGTAACAATGTCAGCGAGTATCTCGCAAGACGTCGGGTGTGCACTACGGTTTATTCCCGTTCGGAGGAAGGCGCGTCGCCGGACGACTCTGCCGAGGCGCCTGCAGCCTCCGAAGCCGAGTTCAACTCTCCGGTTTCGTCGACGCCGTCCTCCTTGGCGCGCGCGGCAGCGGTTTGTTTATCGACGATGAGACGAATTCGCGATGAGCGCTCGAATTTAAAACAGCGAGCGACCAGTGAGCGCTCCGTGATTATTGGTCTTTATTGTTGGGTCTCTAAATTTAGATGAAATGGCTGCGCTCAGCGAGCAGCTTTTAGAAGATGGACGTGTGATTAGCAGATCCTAAAGTAAACACCGATCATGGATAATTATTACTCAACGATTGCACAACCATTGTGTCTTCTGAACATAACCATTGGTCTTTATTGTCAGATCCACAAATTTGGACCGATTACGTTATTGGCCAATTATTCAACCGGTATACAATTTATCTTCCGAACTCAACCAACCAATAGATTTTTTCGGATCTCGTACCGAGAGGAATCGGAAGGGGGCGGGGGGCGTCGAGCTGGAACGCGCGTTCGATCAGCGTCGCGAGAAATCTTAACCTCTCTTTCTTCCTCGTACGGCTAATCGCTAATCCCCCCCGCTGTTAATTATAATTGTGACGCGGGCAAAAAGTAGCCGACGACTAGCTGGTTTATTTAGGAGCGTCCCTGTTCGCTCGATAGATCTGATCTCCCACACATTTTCGCCCGATTACCACCCCGTGGTGACTCGGTTTCTCGGAAAAACGGAAAAACGGGGTTGACGTCATTCGGCGGTACGACGCGACGCGACCAAGAGGCGTCTAACTACACAACGGACGAGCGAACACGCGCGCTGTGTCTATGTGTGGTGTGCGTGTACTATGTGTATATATATTATACACGCGTGGTGGTACGGCAACCGAGAGATTATTGCGTCCGCGAACTTCGGCCATGTTTTACTTGCACTTTACGTCAACCGGTCCGATAGGTGCGAAATTGCGGTCATTATCGTGACTTCGGCTTATCGACCACGCGAGCATGGAGTGTCTTCGATCGTCGTCTTTTCGTTCGAGCCAGCACGAATCATGGTCAATGACGAGCGCAGTCCGCGTTCGGCGAAAACTACCGCGAATCGTTAGTGACTGCTCCCCCCCCCCAATTGTGCAATTTATCGTCCGCGTGTACACAGTCTGCGCGTTTCTGTGCTGCGAATGACGAGACAGCGCACGGCTGAGAGAGAGAGAGAGAGAGAGAGAGCGATATCGAGAACGGTCGCGTTATCAGTTTTGTAATCGCGATACCAAGGCGGCGCGATGATTTTCGCAAAATTCGAATTCTCTTCTCGAGCAGCGATGAGAGCGATTCTCGCGAGACGTACGGTGGAATCTTACGACCGGAAAGACTCGTTTGAGCTCACGCTCGATCTTGCTCGGGACTGTGTTGCCGCTCGTCTCGAGGGATCCTCTCGGAACATCGTCATCAGCCGCGCACGAGTGGCCGTCGTCGTGCGTTTTGCACGTGACGAGGTCGCGTTTATTAACACGTTACACCACGTTTTTTCGCATTCTTTTTAATTTCCTCCGAGACCGCGAGTGAAGTGTATAAATAGGGGAGGAATGTGTCAGGAAAACCGAAGCTTCGTCTGAAGTTGGTTGAAACGTGCGCACGGGAAAAAAATTTGATCGAATTTACCAGACATAGTGGACAAACCGAACGCGTTTCATTAATTTGCACGCTGTCTGATAAATTCAACCAAACTTTCCTCCGCGCACAAATCTGTGCAGCTCGCGATGCGTTTTAGTATGGCCGGCGTCATGTGTGCTGTACCATTCTTTAGATAGCGATTCACGCGATTTTGAGCCTTATAACATTAACGCGTAAGATTGAAAATCGCAGAAGTAACTCTACATTGAAAAAATACCACCGCTCGAGTAATATTTGCTTCATCCAAGTAAAATGGTTAACTCTAGTGCTCTTTGGTAGATATTTACTAGAAGTAGGAATATAGTTGGCTATGTGCAATGTGATATTTCCTTCGTACATGTAGACATTCACTTGTATGTTAGAACATTTGTAGTTGCAATGTTAGGATTGTAGTGGATCTAATTACGATAGTTTCGTGTACATATGTGTACGAAACTAAAATTGTGTTACAAATATATAAATATAGTATATAGTGTAATATATGTACTATATATAGTAGTATTTAGTAAGTACACACAATGAAGAAAGTTTTTCTTGGATTTAATTTACGCGTTTGTACGACTTGGGTTTTTCACACATTGC